GTTTTCACCACGGCCCATTAGGCGTCACCTGTGCGGAGGGAAAAAAAAAATAAAAATCTGTTGTCCTAGTTGCTCCGCTCCCGGCTGCTGCGGAGTCAGGGTGAAGGTGCGTGGTGTGGGGGGCAGGTCTCACAGCTAAACTGAAATTCTGTGGTAATCAAAGCCAGAGCTGTATCTGAACTTCCAAGTCATAGTTTTAGCGAATGTTGGTGTTAGAGACTTGAAGAGTATCGTCTCCGTGTGAGTGTGCCTTCTCAAAATGGGGCAAAACATTCGGTATTTCTAGTCATTGGCCGTGGATGTTAGAAACTTCAGTTTAATTTTCAGTTAAACAGGGCCAATCTGTGCATTCCTGGGTTTGCATATCTGGAAGTATAAGCAAGTGAGTGTTAAGTGCAGGTTTCTGTGTATTAAGTGGGACAGCTGTGCCAAGAGCTATCTGCCTCAGTGCGCTCTGTTGTGAGAGCTGCTGAGTATGCTAGGAGCAGAGTCGGAGTTTGAACTTAAGTCTCAAAGTAAAATAACGTTTTTCTGTGTGTCTTATGTTTCTCTTTTATCTGTCTGCTAGGTATATATCTTGTCATTTTACTCACCATACTAAATTTTTCCATTTAAGTGGAAACAGAAAAGAAATTGTTGTTGACCTTTAGATGCTCCACAGATCTTTTCTTTGTCTTTAATTGTAGTTACCTCTCGAGAATCTTTGAGTGAGTTGTAACTGCTTTTTCAGTGTTACCTTTCTTTCATTATAAACGGTACATCCTGTTCATTCTTCATCCACATTCAGTCTTCTGCTCAGGAAAGGTCTTACGTTGTGTAGCTGTGCTGTATGTTCTTCTAGTTAAGTGTTCTGATGGCATATTATTTATATTAATTCCAGGTTTAGGAGGCATGGGAGAATTATCTTAATTTGTTCAGAGCCTTCGAGAAGAGAATACTTGGCCCTGACAGCTAAGGAACCTAGCTAGGAGGAAAAATCCTGAAGAGCTGTAGTGAAAAAAAATCTATGTTGTTTTCAGACTTGTCTTTGGGTGTTGACTTGTGTTAGCAGTGCGTTCCTCAGGTGCCAGTAAATATGAAGGGTAGGATCTTATTTGTACATCACTTGTGTCATTTATTAGATAAGCGGTTATGTTGGGTTTCTTCAAAAGTACAACTAAAATGGTCTGGGAAAGTAAGTACAGTTTCCATTTGGTCTCTGCTAGCTTGTTGGGAGAGAACAGATTGGCTAAAATCACTTGTGTTCCCACGGGTGCAGATTAGGTAGAAACAGCCTGAAGTTCTTTCGTGTGAGACTTGCAAGGAATAGCAGCCAGGTGACCAGAATGGTGCTCATCTGGCTTGTTAGCCTGTTGTGCTCTCTCTGTTGCTGTCAGTAATTTTTTATTTTTAAGCCTATGAATAATGTTAAAGAGGAAACTGAAGGAGACCTTCCTTAGTAAATACTATCTATTCTTTTTTTTTGTGAAATAAATATGCATAATCTGCTTCTCAGATTCTGAGCACACATGCTATTATGTATCTGTTTTTTAAAAATTTTGAATGAAAATGCTCTGTGTAACTGTGCTGTCAAATACTGAACTAGGTTCAGTAAAAAAAATATTTTTACAGGCTTTCTGATTACAGCATGTGAAGAAATTTTGTTAATTACAGTGCAAAAATCCCAGAGTGAATCATCTTGTTAGCTTGTTACTTGCTGAAGTGAGACGGTGATCATAGTTTTCACACTAGTCAAACACTGTCAGTGTAACCAGAAGCCTTTTTAAAAAGAAGCTTACTTTTGCAAAGCCAAGTTTGCAAAATCTGTGTAACAAACCTGCCACTGACCAACCTGTAGTGGAATTTGTTCACAGCTGCATCTGTTTTCTGTGACTTCATAGGAAGCAGGTGCTTATGAGTGGTGATGTATGCATGCTTTCAGTTTTGGTGCAGCAAGTAGGTTACAGTTAGAAGGAGCTTTGGTTCTGAGGTTTTCTTACAGAGATTCGCATAGTATATCCTTCTGTAGCTTTTCATTGCTTTTGCATTAATAATGTTTCTGATATATGTGTATGATGATGATGTCTTCGTTGTGAAAGGCCCATGTTTGCTAAACTACTTGTGTCATTGTCTTGTCGAACAAGCTCATTGTTGAGTGACAGAGCACATTATAGTGAAATAGCTAAGGAGCAGTTATGTAAAAAAAAATTAAAAAGTAATAAAAAAAAGAAATTGATGTTAAACTTAGGAGGGAGAAATGGAACAGGTCTGCTCATGCATGTAGTGTCAAAAGAGCAGTGAAAGAAGATAGGGATCCATAAAGGTAAGTGGTCTGCTGTCAGTACAGAGAGGAAGATTGGTACCTGGCTTTGTGATCTTCAGCACTGGATCTGGGTGTTGCCAAGCCAGTGGGCAGCACAGATTAGGTTTGGTTCGACTGCGGCCCTTCTAGTATGGAAGTAATCCGTTGTCCATTTTAAAATAAAAAGAGAAGAAAACTACTGTATGAACGATGAGCACTTTGTGCTGTGTGGCTTCACAGAATCATTGATTTGGTTGTTGATTTGGAGCCCTAATGCTCACTTGTTATGGTGAATGTTAATTCTGTGGCTTCTGTTGTCAGGCGGTAGGGCTCCGCTTCCTGGTGCGAAACGTAAGTTAGAAAGGTGAGGTATTTTCAGCACTTGTGTGCCAGAAGCAGGAAGTGCCTGAAGAAGCGTGTTAGTTAGATGCACAAGGTCACTTGGACTGGACCACAGAAGTCTCTGGGGGATTTTTCTTTTAAATAAAGCAGTGGTACATACAGGCTTACTGAAATGGGCTGCTGTTGTCTCGGGTACAGGAAAATGACTGAAAAGTCTTCCTGCAAATAGGGCTGAAGCATCTAAATGAATCTTGTATGTTGAGGCCTAACTGCATAATTTCTGAACTTAACCACAGAGTCAGGCCGTCTTTTCACACAGAATCTTAAAATACACTGCTGAGAAGTCAAAGTAATTGAGGAGTAAGAGCTAAAATACTGTTCTAGAATGATGCAATGGTAAAGAACGTGAAATCTTAAACCAGGTGTGAATGTTAGAGAAGATAATGGTAGAGGCGGGACACAGATCTGAGTCTGATTGCTTGCGGTACTATGTGCAGTTAGATTAAGGTAATATGGGCATGTCCAGTTGGACTACAATGCCAGCTTTGTTTGGTTTTGATACACCTTATTGTGAGGACAAGTATCTGTGCTCTGGAAGGATCGTGACCTTGGATTTTGAGGGCTGCAATGGTGCAAGTGTCGTGTTGCCTTGTATAGTAACATGTTCTGGCGTTGACCTTTTCATCTTGTGGTAAGGCCAGTAGGTTGTGAATTTAGCTACGTCGCTAATGATATGTTGACTGTTAAAACTTCTTACAGAAGGTTGGAAGAGAGTTGAGCTCTGTGTTGCTTTTAGTGCAGTGTTTTCACTCTTGACTTCTGGGCCCTTAAGTATTTTCTGATAAGAGTATGGATGCCTGTCATAGTATAGAATCATAGAACAGTTTCAGTTGGAAGAGACCTTCAAGTTAATTGAGTCCAACCTTTGTTCCAGCCCTATCAACACCACTAAACCATGTCCCTCAGCACCACATCTACCCATCTCTTAAACACTTCCAGGGATGGCGACTCAACCCCCTCCCTGGGCAGGCTGTTCCAATGCCTGACAACCCTTTCAGTGAAGAAATTCTTCCTAAATCCAACCTGAACCTCCCCTCATGCAACTTGAGGCCATTTCCTCTTGTCCTATCACTCACCACTAGGGAGAACAGACCAACCCTTGCCTTGCTACAAGCTTCTTTCAGGTAGTTGTAGAGAGTTGTAGTGAGTGTAAACCTGCTGGCCATCTCACTTAGCTCCCTTTGGAACATTTGACACTGTGAATTAATCTATGAATAAAACGCTGTAACCGTGCACAGGGTATGGGCTGTAGCCACTGCTCTTGTGTTTCTGGCTTTGTCTGCAGTTGAACTTTGCTTTATTTTTGTCACCTGATGATATTCATTATACAAAGTGGGCTATCTCTGTTCTAGAGTATAGTTTTTTTAGAAAGAGAGGTTGATCTCATGGGTAGCTTTCCAAATCGTGGCAGAGACTTCAAAGAGTTATGGAGTTAGTTGCAGAGAGCAGAGCTTGGCAGCATCGTGTTCAGTGACTTGTACTGGCAAACCAAGGGTGTGCTGCATTGTGCATCAGTCTTAGCATTTTATAATACAGGGTTTGTAGACTTGAATTTTAAGAATAATAAGTTTATGAATAGGTGCTTGTGATATTTTGTTAGATTTTTGTGAACTTCTGATCTACTCTAGATGGAGAGGGGACACGTTTTAGCCATTGTGATTTAACTAAAGTTTAATGAACATTCAGAGTATACATCTGTAAATACAGTTTTGTTGCAACTCTGAACTTGCTTTTTAGGAGATTGAAAGGGTTTATTAGTAACTTTTTGTAAGCGATTTTATACAAACAAATCTGAATAATTTGTGGGATGTATGAAGAAACTCTGTTTTCTTCTCCTCTCCTAATTAAACCTGAGAAATAAGAAGAATACTGCGTCTGGTTTGATTAATCTTTCTGGAGAGTGTGGCTTGGAAGCGATGTGGAGGAAAGGTCACCAAGTACTTTAAGCAGATTTACTTTTCACATTAAAACCTGCTGTTTCCTGATAGATACTGAAAAAAGGCAAACAAAACCTTAATTAGTTTGTTCTGTAACATGTTGGCTGCAGGTTCTCACCTTTACACACTTTCCTATGAAGTACTAGTGCGAGTGTCTCTCAACTGCTGACCTCATCTTTATGGCAATTCTTACTCTGCTGCAGTTTAAGTTTGTCATTTTCCACAATAGGCTCAGTCATCGATTGTGTTTAATTTTGAGAGAAATCATTTGAGTCTGTTCAGCATAGCAAACATTCCCTCTCTCCAGAGTAAGAAGACTACAACCTGGGAGAACGTGATTTGCTCCTGAGAAAACTGAAAAAAAAAAAAGTTACTCTTTTTCTACAGGTGAAGTTTTGAAAAACTTAAATAAGTTCTACAAAAGAAAAGAAATCCAAAGACTCGGAGCAGAAAATGGATTAGATGGTAAGAAAATGTTCTAAGATTTATTTTTTTTTTAAATATGGACTCTGTTCTTACTGACATAGTATTAAGTAAATCTGATCTTTTATGGGTCTCACAGCACTGCTTGTTTAGGTTATCTCTGTCACTGGGTTCAAGTAACCTTTGTTGGGTGTTTACAAGTATGTTTTCTTGATCTCTGTCACTAACTTTTGTTCCTCTTTTTTTCTTTTTTTTTCCCCTTCTGCAGCTCGCCTGTTTCACCAAGCATTTATAAGCTTTAGGAAGTATATCATGGAATCCAGTGCTGTGAGTGCTGATTTGCATATTATTCTCAATGATATATGCTGTGGTGCAGGCAAGTATCTGGACTGCTTGTAAAATAAAATACTTTTTTTTCCCCTTGGTTTTGACCTGTATGCTTACCTTCATACCAGTGGACCCCCTCTTATGCTGTAATAGAAGTTAAAAATCACTGCTTCCCAATAAGAAATATTCGTGCCCATCATGTGCAGTGTTCAATTCTTAAATCTTCTGGAGTGGAATCAAAAGAAATGGAGGTCTTAGCAAGAAGCAGCTTGTTTTATAGCATGTTCGTTCCTGAAATAACAAGTTGCTGTTTCTTTTATTCCTCTCTCAAAAATTCAGTGGTCACTAGGGGGCACTTTGAGAGCTTTCTACTGGCCCAGGTGGCGTTAAGTCCTTGGGATACAGCTCTGTGACACTGCGCTGTTTCCCCGTGGCACTGATAGAAGTGAGTGGCGTTTTCCTGCTTAGAAATTTAACGTGTCTTGTTATATTAGTTGTGTGCAATGATTTCCACAGGATTTCCTCACTTCCCCTCCTTATTTACTTATTGTTGAGTGTTGTTCACATGTGCCTTAAAACTCACATGTATAGGAGTGCAGAGAGGGTTGTTTATTGTGACAGTTTTGAATTTTTTTGCTTGAGTTTTACTTGTCCAAAGATAATTGAAAGCACTACAGTTTTAGAGTTCTCTAAATTTCTGACAATATGAAATAATTGAATACTATTTCTCAATTTTAGAAACCAAAATAAAACGCTGCTTTGTGTGTTTAATAATATTTTTTAGATCCAGATCCTTGAAATTCTGTGAGAGCTGGCCAAATGGAGTATAACCTTAAATCAGACATTTAAGGCCACATGTCTGCTCTGCAAACATGCAGAAAAGTGCACCGAGATGTCTCTTCTGAGTTGTTTTTTTTTTTCTTCTGGTTTTGTTTTCTCACCTAAGGATTGGAGACTCACAATTTCCAGCATCCCAAGTGTAGGTAGCTTAGGCAAGCTACAAACTATTCTGTTTTTCTCTGTTTATTCATAAAAGGATTTTAGAAGCTTTCATTTTATGTTAGGTTATTCCAAGGCAGCATGTGAATTTAGGGAGAAAAGGCTGAAGTCATCTTAGGACAGAAAAGCTATTTATCATCCAGCTTCTCCATAACTTCTTATTTCATTTACAAAGTTCTGTAGACATGTAAGCTAACCAAGGTGAGTATACTGAAATTAGATTTATTTTTTTATACTACTGTATTTATATTGTGTTGCTTAATGAATCCATGTACTCATGTTAGTTTACCTTTCTGCCACTGAGATAATTACTGAACTTTGTAGAGAGCCAGAAGTTGAAAAAATTACGTAAGTATGTGGTGGAAGTAGTAGAATTTAAAAAAAAAGAAAGAAAGATTTCTTATGGAGATACACACCTTCATAGAATCATTAAGGTTGGAAAAGACCGCTAAGATCATCAAATCCAACAATCAACCCAACACTACCATGACCACTAAACCATGTCCCAAAATGCCACATCTACGCATTTTTTTGAAGACCTTCAGGGATGGTGACTTCCACACTTCTCTGGGGACCCCGTTCCAATGCTTCACCACTCTTTCAGTAAAGAAATTTTTCCTAATAGCCAGTCTAAACCTCCCCTGGCACAACTTGAGCCCATTTCCTGTCATCCTAGACAAGCTTCAGACAAGCACGCAAAACTTTCTTAAAAGGATTTGTCTTCTAGGTCATGTGGATGATCTCTTCCCATTTTTCCTGAGGCATGCGAAGCAGATCTTTCCGATGTTGGACTGTATGGATGATCTGCGCAAGATTAGTGATTTAAGATTGCCACCAAACTGGTCAGTGTGTTTAAGTGGTTGCGGCGTTTTGTTAGTGTCATAGAATTTTATAGTCTGTGGATTTAAGCTTCATGTTGTATAATTGCACTGCACTTTCAGTTTCGTTTCTCTGTTTTTACCATAACTTGTGTCAGGAACTCTTATTTTTGCTACAAGATGCATTGCAATCAATTAAAAGAAAAATAAGATTATATTAACAATGAAAGTTGCTGAGTTGGTGCTGCCTTTTGGTAAAGCTGTCTTCTGGCTGTATCTGTGTGGGAGGCAGCACACCAGAACATTAAAATGTTAATGTACTCAAGGAGAGAGACCACAGTAATGAGAATTATTTTGAATAGAATGTGTGAATTGTATTCAAAATCTTTGAAAACTGTATGATTTAGAAAGATGAATGTATAAGACATAGTAACCTCTTTATGCTGTCTCTGTTTAAGAACTTGATCTTTCCGCTTTCAACATGCGTTAAAAGTCTATTAATAAGTATATGTTTAAGTTAATTTGTAATTTGCCCTGAATCAGTAGCCAGAAAACCAGACAAACATTGAAGAGATGTGCTTTTTTGTCTGTCTTTTAGGTATCCAGATGCCAGGGCTATTCAGAGAAAGATAATATTCCATGCCGGTCCTACAAACAGTGGAAAAACTTACCATGCTATCCAGAGATTTTTGTCAGCAAAGTCTGGAATATACTGTGGTCCACTGAAACTTCTGGCTCATGAGATCTTCCAAAAGAGTAATGATGCTGTCAGTATGTTGTATTACTTACATACACATCCTTAGTACTGGGACAGTCTCATAAATGTGTATTTGTAAAGTACTGAAGTTCATTAAGGCACTTTTGCCTTTGCTTTGCAGTGGTGTCAGCTCGCATGAATACCAATTGTACGTTTCTACTTTAGGTGTGCAGAATAGAATAGCATTTCCCCAAAAGGAACCTTGTTTCCTGAAAGCGCATGTCGTGTAATCATCTCTGTAACCTGCCTCCGTTTTCCTGCAGTTTTTCTCTTCCTGAGTTTCGCCAGGTTCTGCTGTTGCATTTTTCGCTATTGAAACTGGCTTCTTTTGCTAATGACTTTTATTTTAGCTCATACACAAGAAATTACACTTGCTTAACTCCCCTCAACCTTCTGCTTCAAGTTTAAGTGTATTTCACTCAATCATCTAATGAGTGTTGCAGCTTTGGACGTGTTCAATTGATGAGATTGTATCTGTATCAGGTCTCTAGAGGAAGCTTTCATTAGTTTGCGGGGGGGGGGGGGTTGTTGTTTTTGTGTTTTTTTTACTTCCAGCATCTTTTTGAAGGTTGCTCGCCAGTGTGTTTCCAGCTGCACAGAACCACACCGATTCCGACACGTTACAATAGCACATCATGCATTACTGCAGCATAGTGTGTTATTTGTTTACCAAATGTTCTTGTGATGTCTCAAAAGGCTGAGTAGTTACTTCCTGGATAGCTTCTGTTATACCGTCTTAGAAATTACCTTAAGAAACTGATTTTTTTTTTCCCCCCTTTGGAAAGGGGATTCTGTTATATTAAAGAAACTTAACCTGGGTTTTCTGAATTCCTTTAGAATGTGCCATGTGACTTGGTGACAGGAGAAGAGCGTGTCTATGCCCATGAAGATGCCAGACCAGCTGCTCATATTGCTTGCACGATTGAAATGTGCAGCACTAATACGCCTTGTATGTATACGTCATTGTTTCAGTCATATCTGTGGTGTCTTTATGTGTATTACTGCTTGGACTCTGAAGGAGCTGAGCTATTTCTTTTCACTCTTCTTTAAACAAATTCTGAGCTATGTTAAAGCAGTTAATAAAACTTGGATCCTCTTACAATAGCTTTTTGGTGTTAGAGGATTAACTTGATTTGAGCAACCTTTTTCAGAAAGCGTTCAAGTTCCTTCCTGTGCTGTATTGTTATTTCAGATGTTCTGCCTTGGTGCATCGTATTTTTCTTTTTTATTTTAAGATGAAGTTGCTGTGATTGATGAAATTCAGATGATCAGAGATCCTGCCAGAGGGTGGGCTTGGACAAGAGCCCTTCTAGGTAAGCTTGTTTATGTTGACAATGAACTTGTTTAATGTGACTATAAATGGCACATTAAATTCAAGCCTAGCCGTTAGTGTATTCATAAGTGGTTACAACGCGTAATGCAAAATAAAACTGAGTATTGGTCCTTCATATGTCTTCTTGCAGCAAATTAGAGAGAGAGAGGCTCTGCCTCAAAGGATTTGTCTGTATGGCAGCAAGTTACTTGTCATGTTTTACTTAATAAGTGTTTTTAAAAAAAAATTACTCTCTAAACTTTACAGATACTTCTCTTAGTTTTACTTTACTATGAAATCTTTGGGACCATGCTATCCTTTCACATTGGTTTCCTAGAAGTATGCTTTCTTTTGTTCAATTGAAACAACATAATTTTTCAGAGATTTCGTTATGAAGAAATAATGTATGGCAACGTGAAGAACATTAAATATTTTATAGTGTGAATTTCAAATGGCTCATTTATAGAGCTGCATTGATCTGTTAAATTCTTGGAAGGATGCTTCTTCTGCTAATTTTTCAAGAGGAATTTTTGAAGCTTGTTTTTCCTCTGATTTTGAACAGAAGTCTGAATTTTACCCCTGCCCTTCCCTTCACTGCTTTTAATGCTAAGCTGAGGGGGATGATTTGCCACACTTCTGTTACCTCCTGTTTTTTTCCCTTTTTCTACTCTGACTGCATTAGATGTACTCATGATTTTAGAAGATCGTGCAAAAAACAAAGCTCGGTTCTGCTGTGGTTTGTGAGTTAGTAAAACGGTAGTAGTAAACAAAACATACTCCAAGCTTTGTTCCATTTGTTCAGGGGTTGAGGATGCCCTTCTACTTTTGCAGAGAGGGTGCAACAAGATATTTTCATGCATCACTTGCTGATATGAGATCAAGAGCAGCTCTAAGGACGTAGTATATTGTGAGAGAGGCTTTAGGTACTGATTTAGGATGTTGAAGGTGTTGGACAAGGTGAAATACAGCCCTCATGGCTGTGTTCAGCAAGCAAAATGTAATTTTTGTGAAACTTAAAAGTCAGCTTTTTAGTTTTCTATTGTTGTCTATAAATATGTAACATTTTGCATTTTTCATTGGATCTTGTTCAGGACTCTGTGCGGAAGAAATCCACGTTTGTGGAGAAGCTGCTGCTATTGACTTGGTTACAGAGCTCATGTACACTACAGGGGAGGAAGTTGAAGTAAGCTTTTTAATTCTGTAAAGTGGATTCTCCTTGCTTGAAAACAGGCAAAAACTTAGGGTCTTTTGGGGTATCGGTGATCAAAATTATTCTTGCAGGAGTTCTTGTTAAAATGTTTCTCAATTCCTGTAAACCAAAGGAGATGTTGGAAGGTTTTTGTGTGTTCTTTTTTTTTTTATTGTTTTGCCTAAAGAAGATAACTGCTTTGCTGAGTTCCCCTCAGGGAATGCTACAGCTGTTCAGGGACTTTCTTTGCAACTCTGTTTTTCCTGGAGAGCACAGTACCCTCAAGTTTGCTGAGGTTCCTGAATCTGTTGATAGTTTTTCTCCATATGATGAGGAAAGAAATTAAAAAAGTTAACGTTTCCAGAAGAGCAGGTGTTTGAAAGGTCTCTGAAACCCAGTTTTACTGTCCTACTTTTTTTTTTTTTTTTTTCCCTTGGGGAGATTCCGCTGTGAAGATTTTTTTAGAACCATAAAATTTGGTCCTAAGAAGGTCCAGCCTGCATGACTTCCTGGTGAATTACCTGTAGCTTTATATATCTGTGTGTGGTATGTAATTCTGAAAGGACACCATTTACAGCATTCAGATGTCTGAGAGGAAACAGACTCTCATTTCTTGATAAACTGCTACATAGCTTGTATACTTCCATTCTTGAATCCAGTTTACATGTTAAAATACATAGTTCTTCTGTTTCTTGAAAAGATAATACAGTTCTGAGCCTGGAAAGTGCTGCAAACGTACTGGTGCATAAGCTGCAGTAAATTTCCTTTGAGGACTGTGAGGGTCGCTTGGTGTTAAAATCAATTGTGATAACCATGCTTGTTGGTATTCCACAGGGATTTTTCATTGTAAAACGTATTATCTTTACCAACTCCTCCTTTAATTCTAGGTCCAAAACTACAAGAGACTCACTCCTCTTACTGTGCTGGATTATCCCTTAGAATCTTTAGATAACCTTCGTCCCGGGGACTGCATTGTCTGTTTCAGTAAGAATGACATTTATTCTGTCAGTCGGCAGATCGAAGCCAGAGGATTAGAATGTGCTGTCATATATGGCAGCCTGCCACCAGGTAAAGCGCGCTTCTGTTAAGGGAATCTTTTCCTTCCTGCTTTTAGAGTCTTCTTGCTTTAGTCTTTCTGTGAAAAACTTTTAAAATGAAGCAGTGCAAGTGTTCCTAGTTTTGCATCTCTGCAGCTAGAGAAAGTAAGCAACTTCACTTGACTGGCGTTTTAATCTTGGGATTAGTGCTTTATTATGTGCTTAATACTGATCTTCAGATAGATATAATTAAATGAGATCTATCCACAGCTCTGGGAATGATTTAAATCCCTCCTGCCCCTTCCCCCACCAACAGCCAAACAGCAATCAAATGCTGTTTATTTTGTTTTTCTTAGCCTGTTGGGAAGGCATTTGTCTTAGTGATACGTTGTCTTTGTTTCATAAGAAGTGTTTGCTATGTGCAATGTTTTGTCGTCCTGTTTTAGGAACAAAACTTGAACAGGCAAAGAAATTCAATGATCCTGATGATCCATGCAAAATTTTAGTTGCTACAGATGCAATTGGGATGGGACTCAATCTGTAAGTATTTGGAGCAGCTTATGTTTTTATTTTGTTTGGGGTTTTTTTTGGTGGGTTTTGTTTGGTTTTTTTTACAGGTGTGATGTATTTCCTCACTTGTTTCTCCCCGGTTGACTGATTTGGCTAGACACCTGCTCTGTCTGGATAACACAGTACATACATTTTAATTCTGAAGTACTCATCAATTTCATTGTGTAGAACTAAACTTTAATGTTAAACTTGATTCTAAGAATGAAATGCCTCACTTGGCCCAATTCCGTGTGATAGCAGGCACTGTTCCGATCCTTTCAGTTCACAGGAGGTAGATGCGCTGCGTTGTCAGAGCATCAGTGTCACTTTTCTGAGGTGTAGATGCCATCACGTTGCTGTAACTAGTGAGGTGGATGATGATGAATGGATTGGGACTCGAGCAGAATATGACCAATGCGTGTAGGAATTCTCCTGCAACTAACCAGTAGTCTTACACTGCCCTTTTCAATATGCTCTCTCCCCGAGTAGAATCTGTGATTCCTTCATTTATAGAGGTGAACAGAGCTCAAGTAAAAAACATAAAGAAAAGGCTCTCGTCTCTACTTGGTTGTATATTGGAAATAATTTGCCTTAAAGGGTTCCTCTGGTTTTTTTTCAAATATTTCAGGTGTATAAGAAGAATAATTTTTAACTCTATAGTGAAGCCAACTATCAATGAGAAGGGGGAGAAAGAAATAGACTCCATTACAACCTCTCAGGCTCTGCAGATTGCAGGCAGAGCTGGGCGTTACGGCTCATCCTTCAAAGAAGGAGAAGTCACTACAATGCATCGTGATGACCTTGCACAGCTGAAGGAAATTCTGAGCGAGCCCGTGCGCCCTGTGAAGGTGAGAGGCTCAATGCCCTCTTTGTACAGATGGGCTCTGGAGCTGTTGCACTGTGTTCTGATCCCCAATTTCTATTCATGCATATGTTTACTAAAGTTAGTACTAAAAATAGATTGTGTCATGCCTGAGTGGCTTTAAATATATGTACCATTTGGAGGCTTGTGATAATTCATTTATGTTGAAGCTGCTCTTTCAAGAGTTGAAAGCTCACACCCAAAACTTCTTAAGTTCTACGTAAGTGTGATAAATAAACTGAACTCTGTAGGGTGCTTTGTTTGTTTGCATTTAATCTTCCAGGATTTTGTTTCTGATGCACTAACTTAGGAATTAATATTGAGAAATAATATATTTTTTTTTTCTTTTTTTTCTACTTTAGGCAGCTGGCCTACATCCTACTCCTGAGCAGATAGAAATGTTTGCTTATCATCTCCCTGATGCCACGCTGTCCAATCTAATTGTAAGAATGATCAAAAACTAGCTTCTGCTTTAAAAAAGCACAGTGCTAATAGCCACTGCTTTTATCCAAACATGCACTTTGGGAACCTTGTGTGTGTCTTTTATCAGGTGGATTCTTCTCTCTTCCACAGCAGTGACAAATTCATTTAGAATGCTTAACCTTTCTGTGTTACAATCAACTTGCAAGCTGTTGAAGTGTAAAAATATCTTTTGCAAGTGCCTAAACATTTAAAGTAGAAATTAAGCTTCCAGTGCTGTATTTAAAACCCGATATTATTTTTTTTTCAATACACTGAGAAATTCTTAGAAGCTTCCGTTGATTTAAATGTGTACTGGTTTTCTCTGCTGATGTGCTGTTATGCAGCAAAGTGTGTAATTTCTAATCTCAAGGTAAAAGATGATACTTGGAGACCTCCTGGAAGACTTAGGCTGGTAGATAACAGCACCTCTATAAAATTTTACTGTTCAGAATTTTCGGGCTAACACAGAATTATTAGGATAAAAGAACCATGGTATTATTGATCTCTAAAGTATTCAGTGGCATATTTAATTAAGCAACTCTGTTTCTTCAAAGATCTTTCAAAAATCTTCCAAATATTTATACTAGATAAATACTTTTGGGGGCCCGTAAAAATTCCCCCTGCAATGTGCAGTGGCATCTCCCATTTCTCTAAACCTTGGATGTGTTTCAGGTATTCTTTGAACTCCTGTATAGCAATACCGTATTTATCTAGTGATTTGTTTTTTCCTAGAATAGATCTGCTCCTGACATTGGGCTAAAAATGTCTCAGTTATTCAGTTTTATGCTGTAATGTTAGCTTTTTGGTTCACCGTAAGTGAGAAACCTGTAAGAAGTTCTGAAGATGGTAGTAGCTGGTGCGTGGGATGGTGTTCTTTGTAACGAAAACATGCACTTCCAGAACACTGTATTTGTTACTTAAAAGACTAATTGAAAATACTTAAATAAAGCGTAATGTGTTATGTCTTCTTGTCTGAATCCTGTGTTAGAGGATTTAATGAAAATCCTGTTAAAAGAGTAGAGGGAGATCCTCTGCCCTTTTTTTTAATTCATTTGGTCAAATGTGATATTTTTAACTTTCTTTCAGCCTTTGAAAAAAACCCACTAAGTCATTTTTCAGTTTGGTAATACAAAATTTCGCAACTCTTTCCTGTAACGTGCTCTTCATTTGGTTGTGTTTTCGCAGGATATTTTTGTAAGTCTCTCACAAGTTGATGGGCTTTACTTTGTCTGCAATATTGATGACTTCAAATTTCTAGCAGATATGATTCAGCACATTCCACTAAATTTGCGATCACGATATGTCTTCTGCACTGCACCCTTGAACAGAAAAGAGCCTTTTGTGTGTACCACATTGTTGAAGGTCAGTTATTTTTTTCCTCAAAAAAATGCGGTATTTGCCTTGGAGCAAGGGGGTCTTGGTCTTGGTACAGTGAGACTTTATCTAGCTGCTGTATTTATTGTGGGCTTTATTATAGACCATTTGATAGCATTCTGAAAGTGCTCACCAGGCAGTAATATAAAATAGCTAGAGAAATATGTATTTAAAAAAAACCAAAATGCATTTTCCACCATTTTTGTTGGCCAAAGCTTTTAATTTCTGAGGACTGCTTCTTATTCTGTGCTGTAAATTAAAGTTTGGATGGCTTTTCTGCTGTTTGCCTCAAAGAATCCTATTTCTTGCCATGCGGATGGACTTTGAACTGGGAGAGTGCAGATTTGTGTTACATAGTCACTTGTGCACTGTTAAACTTCGCATTATCCTGTGTCTAGAAGGAGTCCTTAAAAGCTAAGATACCACTGCTTCAAGGCGTTAGCTTGTCCACAAAATAAAAGAATATGGGATTAGGTGTGATTGCTGATGTTAAAATACAGTTATATAGAGTTAAACCCACAGAAAATAGTGTGCTGCAAGTTGCTCTCAGAATTATGTCATTTAATTTTTCAGGCCTGGAGGAACTGTTTGCCACTGTGCCCCTGAGTGATTATTTTGTGGAGTTTGCAGTCAGCTGATTTCAGTTTTTCAGGATTAATAATTTTGTTTGGGATTGTTGCTCTGTTAGACAGGATTGACTTTGTCCCCTTTTAGAGACTGCATTAAACATTATTTTTAAGAAAATAGTGTAAAAGTGAAACTGATGTGGTGCCCTTGTGTCACAGATACTAGACCTGTGCTTTTCAAAAACGGCTAATAATGTTCTTTAAAAATTGGGTAATTGATTTAAAGAGTTGGGGGAATAAAAACTGCGTCATTGAGTAAATGCTGAGCATTCAGATTCCAAGTGATGAAGGTGCAGAGGGGCATAAAGTAATGTCAGGGGAAGATGGGCTGTTATGAATACCTGTATGAATTTAAGCCCCAGTCCTCAGCAAAACAACCCAGCTTTTGGTGTCAGGCAGTTTTGGAAACAGTTATTCCAAGTCATCAATGCTCCTGAGAAATTTAAATTTAAATCTTATTTGGTTTGTTACTAAAAGACCTGAGATGTCTTGTTTTCAGAAGGGCTGATTTCTAGCGCAGATTAATCTGTTTAGGTTAAGAATTGTGTATTTCCTAAGTCAGGGAACACATTTACATTTTCTCAACCCTGGAGATTCTGAAACAAGGTAATTAACGGAACAGGAGAAGAAAGGACAAGTCCATCTACTTCACGAGATGAAATCATATGCCTTCCCTGTTACACTTTTCCGGGTAGCTCTGCACTTTTGTTGCTTAACTCCGTGCATGGCACATGGACAAATCGTGTTAATGAGGCCCCGGGAAGGAGAGGTTACTCTTGTGTTGAGTAATTAAGTAGAAGAATGTGTGGCATTTGGGCTGTGTAAAACAAAGCAGGTATTTTCTGGAGTATTCTACATATGCAGACTCCAGGGAATTGAACTCATTTGGGATTTCTTCTTTCCTGACTAACTGAATTGGCTTGTTTTTCAGTTTGCAAGACAGTTCAGCAGAAACGAGCCTCTGACGTTTGACTGGCTCTGTCGGCACACCAAATGGCCATTAGCTGCTCCAAAGAACATCAAAGAACTTGTACACCTTGAAGCTGTTCATGATGTTTTTGACCTCTATCTGTGGTTAAGGTATTGTCTTTGTGCTTGAACATAATTTTTATTTTTTCCTAATATTTATGACTTGCAGTTCTAGAAGACCAGTGTCTTCAGGCCTGTGCGTCTGTGGTGCAGAATGGGCTCCTTGGGGCCCTTTAGAGGCTCTTGACAAATGCAAGTGTAGCTGTGTTATGAGAGCAAGTCGTGAGTTCTGCAGAGAAAAGTTTGTAACTGACAGACAAAGTTAGAAGTAAGGTGATCCTGGACTGGAGCAGCTGAAATGCAACTTCCCGTGCAACAAGTAATATTATTTTTTTAACTTCACATAGTGTGTACCTCGCTTTTGTCTCAGTCCTTTAGTGAAAAGGTTTAATCGTGTGTTGTTTTGCCTCTCTTCAGTTACCGCTTCATGGATATGTTCCCTGATGCTGTCCTTGTAAGGGATATTCAGAAAAAATTAGACGACATTATACAAATCGGTGTCTGCAACATCACGAAGCTGATACGAGCGTCCCAATCTGCAGCTGCTCCTGGTACAGCAGTTGTGCCAGAAGATTTTCCTTTTTCAAGGACTAAGAGGGATACCAAGGTGATTTCAGACCATCATGTTGCAAAGTCCACAGAAGCGCTCTCTGTTGCAGTGGAGATTCCGGGAGAAAGAAGAGCAAAGAACTTGAAAGCCTATCGGTCTGCCACAAGGCAGGAGGATCTGAAAAGCCACGGACGTGGATCTCTGGCCAACAGATTGCTGCGTGAAGGACTTCTAACACAAGAAATGCTGAGACAGCTGGAGAGTGAGTGGCAGGATCAGCACAGGAATGGTAGATACGGCCTTGGTTCGAGAAGAGATGATCAGAATAGTTCAAAGGAAACAGGGAAAAAGAAAAAATAGAGCCATGTCCTAATTCTGTTTAACTTTTATTCATAAAATAAAATACTATTTTAATAACTTCTTTGGCATTTCATGTTTACACTACTGCAGCTCCTCAGTGTTTTTCCTTTCCCTGTGACCAGTTACATGAAGCAATCGGAGAAATGGACTCTTACGAGCTCAGAGGCCATAGATTTGCTTTTACTGGTCAGCTGCACACTTTCTCAGTCACAGTGTTCAGTGTGTGTGATCTACTGCTATGTGAAAATTTTGAACTCAATGTCTTCTTGCAAGACATCCTCACGTTGTTAATAAACATCAGATAATTCACTAATAATGAATTAGCTACTCATTCCATCCCTTCCCAAAGGGCAGAGTTTGACAGATAACAAGTAATGAACAACCTAGCAGGAAGTTGGATCAGAATGGTGATAGGAGTCATGCACCTCTAACCTTTGTTACCTGTGGAAATGTGGAAGGAGGTGAAAAGCGCTTGTGTTAATGCATTGAGGAATTATGATATTCTGGCTACCAGAATTTTTGAGTGCATTCCAATTCTGTCATCTGAGGAGTAATTACTGCAACAAAGTGAAATGTGTCCTCACTCTTTAAATTGTATTCTTTCTAGGAGAAAACTCATCACACTGATTTAGGCAAAGTTTGAGGGGAGGGGGGAAAAATATTTGGATTATGATTATTGGATTATTTTGGTCAACAGCTGGTTGAAGATAAGCCATCAGTGTGCCCACGTGGCCGAGAAGACCAACAGCATCCTGACCTGTATTAGCAATAGTGTGGCCAGCAGGACCAGGGCGGGGATTTCCCCCTGCACTCGGCATGCGTGAAGGCTGCACCTTGAGCACTGTGTTCGGTTTTGCGCCCTTTGCTACAAGACACACGTTGAGGGGCTGGAGTGGGTCCAGAGAAGGGCAGCAAAGCTGGTGAAGGGTCTGGAGCAAAAGACTTGTGAGGAGCAGCTGAGGGACCTGGGGTTATTCAGCCTGGAAAAAAGAGGCTGAGGGGAGACCTTCTCACTCTCTGCAGCTACCTGAAAGGAAGTTGTGGAAAGGTGGAGGTCGGTCTCTTCTCCCAAGTAGTAAAGGAAAAGACAAGAGGAAATGGCCTCAAGTTGTGCCGGGGAGGTTTAGGTTGGATATTAGCAAAAACTTCACCAAGAGACTGCCCAGGGCAGTGATGGAGTCACCGTCCCTGGAGGGGTTTGAAAGCTGTGTAGGTGTGGTTTCATACAAACTAGTTTGTTCTGTTGTGCTTCATAAATGCTTTTTCTGTCCGTTTTTTTTCCTGCCAGTTTGTTTGTGATACCTGAATTTTGAGAGGAGCCAGAGTATTTTCCTTTAAGCTTGGGGCCAGTTTATAGTTGAAGTAGCAGTTACTTCTTTAAGTAACAGCTCGTGGGTTGATCTTTGCGCCAGTAGTATTTCCACATACCTGTTTTATCGTGGCTGTCATAACTTGGAGAAGTCAGGTGCTTACCACCTGGAGGTAACTTGGAACTAAGTTCTCAGGGAAAAGGACTTTTTTGTTTGTTTGTTTCCTGATGCAGTGTCACTGAATGTTTAAGGCAGTGCCCCACCAGGCTACGCCTCTTTCACACACATGCAGTTGCTCTGCCACTCTTTTTCAGTGTGAGCAGCTTTAAGATATGCTTGTGAGTTCCCAGTAGGGATGCTGGAGAGTGGAAAGAATCGACTGCTGTGTGTTCACAGTAATGGGTTTTAGTGCTCAGACATGTTGCCCAAGAAGAAGAATACTGCAGCAGCTGTGGTTTGGGGTTGACTATGCACAAGTCAGCAGACCCTGCTTGTGTTCACGTTGGGATTCTTGTAAAAGCCAGGTTGAATTTCACTGTATCAAATACCAGGTTTTCTAAAACGATCAATCAACATATTTCTGCAGGTTGAAAGTTTTTCTGAATCCCCTTTGCTTCCTACTGGTATGAGTCCTTTAAACTGCTGTTCAGAAGCAAGTCTGTAGCAGTTTGAACAATGTTTTTAACAGCTGGTTTGGGTATATTTGATGTATCCTTTCCCCATTATTTACTGAAAAGCAAACAGTGCATAAATGTTTCTAGTTTACATGATCTCCTGCTGATTTCGGTGCCAGACTGGTGGCGAGGGAAGTTTTAGATCCTTCCACTGCCAAGTCCCATCTTCCTTTCTTCCCCCAGGAAAAAACCAAGCAGCTCTCTGTGTGTGGCAGCAGCCATGTGAATGTCGTGAATTTTCTGCTTTGCGGATGAGTAATTCTGTTTTGCTTTCCCATAGTCCTGACAGCCTCCGCTCAACAGCAGCATGACTTGCACAGAATGCAAGCTTGCAGTTAACCCTTACCAATGTATTCTGTTAGAATAGGCTGCGTGATGTGGGTGACGGGCTTGAGTGGCATCACTTGACTCCTGGTGTCTTTGCACTTGACAGACTTGAAGGGAAGTTGTAGCTGCTCAAGCCTGCAGACGGATTTTGACGGCATGTGTTTGCCCACTTGTCTTTTGGGCTACGCGGTCCTGGCTGGATCTGCAAACCTCAGTTTACAGCCATGCCTGTGCAAGAATGACTCCTCTGCTTTCTCTCCTCCAGCACATGTGGGGTTGGGCTGCAGGACACGCACGTTGCTTCCATTCTGTTTTGATAAATTTATCCTTTAATTGTATGCTAAGCTGCATACTAGTGTATATTTTTGAGCAAGGAAACTTCGGCATATAAGACAGCCTTGTGTTTGAGCAGCAAGCCTTGCAATAAGTAAGCTAAATGACTATAAGCCTTCTTTTTTGTATTTTGCTGAGATTAGCACTTGGCTTAACTCGTTGCTTGTTTCCATAGTGACTCCATAGTAACTGTTTTAAGAGCTCTGAAGTTTATTCAGGCATTTCCAGGCTGACTTTTTATGAAAGTTTTCTTTTCTTCTGAGCTAATGGTGTGGCTGTCATTGACTCCCATTAGAATGGCTGCCAAATTGGTCCAGTGTGGTACAATCCGGATTGGTGTGGTGCAAGGCTATGCCAGCTGCACATTTTTAATGTGCCCTGTGCAAGCAAGTCCCTGGGGGAGGATTGAGTGGCCTCTTGCTCTTCTTCGTGGGCTTGCACTGAAACCTTTTCATTGTAAACAACATTGAAAACATTCACTTGATTTGGGAATCACATTTGCAAAACTGTTAAGTTCAAGTGTTAAGATTTCCGGGTGAATTGTAGGCGTTCAAGCTTCAGATGTTGGGAAGTTTGATTTCACAATTTAATGTAGTTTGTGTTTGTTGCACCTCAAAGGTAAAAGCCTTCTTTCTCTTAAGCCAATGTGCTCTTTTCTGTCTGTCCTCTCTCCATCTCATCTAAATAGTGTCTCTCTTTGGAGTGAATTTTTGCAGTCAGTCTCCCCAGGTGTTCTACCATGTTTTGCAGACTGATGTTGCCCTGGGAGGGATATATGTAGGATGAACGTGGGGACCCATTTTGGAGTTTTTATGAACTTGGAGGAATATAATGAGGAACAAAGCTGCTGCTGCTGGCAGGGGGAACATGTTCTAAGGGTTGGTGTTGGAAGCATATAATGACGAAGGATTTCTCGTGATGACTTGCCTGTAGCATTGTCCACTCTCTCGTTAATCTGAGTGCCAAATTCAGCAACCAGTGGTGCCACTGCCTCTGATACCTCGCCGAATACAGAGGCATTTCTCCAGCAATAAAATGCTTAGGGTGGCACCTCTTTCTGGAGGTAACTGGTGCAAGTTCAGCTGATGTGCTCAGGCATTTATCTGAATTTCCCCCTTTCAGCTGTGAGCTCCTTTGGTGGCCTTTAGCTGGAAGGCTGTGGGAGGCGGATGGGCTATGTGAGGATTCTGCGTTGTGCCTTGAGACAGGGTTTGGAGGGAGAACTGTGGGAGAAGAAAGTAGAGTGGTGTAAGAACTCTGAAGTCTTGTTGGCCCTTGCAAAGGGGGAAGGAATGGTGTGTGACTAACTTTAACTGGGCGCAGCTCTAACAAAGGGAAAAGGCAACATTACCTCAAGCTTCCAAGCTGCATATGGTTGGAGCTGATCTGTTTACTTGGTCCTGGATCATTTACCCCGTACAAAATGGCTGTAACGTATTTGGGTATCGGGCTCATAGTGCATTGAGCTGCTGTCGGCGTGGAAATGAGATAATGTCTTTTCTTTTCTTGCACAACAAGCCTGCCTGGAGCTAGGATGCACCAGGGATGAGTGAACAAGTTACGCAGTGATTCTGACACGTCAGGTATTTAACAGAGCTTGCTGCCAGTTTAGTAACGCTTAGATCTTTGAGACCTTTTTCCAGTGGCATCCGTTAGAGAAAGAAAGAAAAGAGAGAATGAAAAATAAATCTACTGTATTACAGACACAATGAGCTCCGGATCAAAGTGGGATGGAGCTTGAAAGGTGATGTTTTCAATTTTGCTGGCCAGAGGGGTTGTGACTCGGATGGCATGGGTAAACAATGAGGAAAGAGACAGTCCCTCTGGGAGTCAGTGTCTGACTTAACGAGCCAGCAGTTATTAAAAGATGAATACAGGAGAAGTGAACCGTGCTTTCTGGCTGGTAGCGTGGCTTTTTTCTTCTTTCTTTTCTCCTTTTCTCTTGAAGATCAAAAGCCTAATTTTAGAACAAGCCCTATTTATGGACTGTTCAGCCACTCTGCTTTACTCTTGTTCTAGAATAGTGGAAAATAAATAGAGTTGGTGAGATCTCCCAGTGTCCAGAGTTCATCCCTGATGTGAGGCAGGAGGGGGAAGAAAAAACAAAAGGAAAAGATCTCAACCTCTGTTAACAGAGGTTCTGTGTAATTTCTCTCTGGAGAGGGAGTTCCCTTCCCTGAGCTCTTTCAGTCTTACCTCGTGACCAGAGATTGAAAAAAATGCAACCTGTGACTGCTTTTGATGTTGAGCAGAGCTGTCTCTTTCTGATCCTTGCCTTCTTGATGTGCTGGAGCTGCCAGGACTGGGCAGAGGCTTCCTCTTCCTGAGGCTGGTGCTGAGTGTAGAGCTGAGTGTTGTTTTGTGTGTGTTGTGGTCACACAGCTCGGTATGATGCTCAGTCATACCTTTTTTTTTTTTCTTTTACAATAGCACGAGGTTGTTGGGTCCACTTCAGGCTATGAAATGATATAGCCTGAGATTCTCTTCTGCTAATGGACTCCTCCTGCCCCGCTCTGCATAGCCGATTTCGTACTTTGACTCAGTAGTTCTGTTTTCTCCTTACTTGGCAGCCCCCTCTTCCATCTCCCTCTTCTCCTTCTGCCCCGAGGCTGTTTTTCTGATTTATAAAAGTAATTTTCAATTGTAATCTTGTTCTGTAAAATTTTG